TGGGGGTACTTTTTCTGCGCCTCGGCCTGGCGGAGAATTTTCCTTGAATTGGGACACTGCACCCATATCACTTTTAAAAGCTGAATGGAGGTAATTCTGAAATTCCCACTCCCGTATTTCAGTTGAGAAGTGACTTTTTATGTTTGATTCATCTGTGGTAAGTAAAATTATAAAGTTTCAGCTTTGAAATGAATGCACATGGCCGGAAGGCAGACTCAGACTCGACTCAGCTCGGTGGACATACTCACTTGAGTAGTTTAAGCAGGGCATATTTGTTGACTAGCTGCTCCTGAGAATCCTCTTCATTGTCCACTCCAAAGCCTGTGGCCCCTTCCACAACCATACTCTTATCCTCTGTCCAAAACCGGAAGTCACTTCTACTGTCCAGTTCACTGTATGTTTGATCACTGTGCATAAAGATGGGGTAGTCTTTAATGTTTGTAACGAACTTGAAAATATCAAAGTTTAAAATGATACTGCAATTCAAATATGAACTAGACAGTTTTCCTAGATAACATCTGGAATAGTTTCGGCAAATAGTTCAAGCCTTCCTGAATGTATTGACATGAAGGATTTGGAGTTACTCCACAAAAATTGAGAATTACAAACACCTGAGCTCTGCAAGGTCATTGCCCTGGAGTTCTCTCAAGACGTCCCGGACCAGCTCCTGATTCTCCGTGGTCATGTGCAGCTGCTGCATCTTCACCTTCCTGGGTTCACCCCGGCCACGCCCTCTGCCACGCCCGCGATATCCCTCAATACCACGCCCCTGATACCCCTCACTGCTGTGCCTCTGCTGGCCATTACTGCTCTGGCTTGCTTGACGCTCGCTGCCCCGCCCTCGTTGCCTGTCACCTCCACGCCCTCCTGAAGATGCTCCTCCAGATGCACCCTTTGACCCTGCCCTGCATAAAAACCCCCAAAAATAAAAAACAAACAACAAAATTAGTCAACATATGTCCATCAGTCTAGTCTACATAATAGCTTAACTGGTGAACAATATATTCGCTGAACTCACATGCTTACAGATATATCTATTATTACATGCACACAAACACTACACAATGTCGGAATCCAAGTAATGATCATGAATCATTACAACTTCCAACATCTACTGACTGCAGGCTTCCCCTTTTGCAGAAAATTTACTTCGAGTCAAGAGGTTGGCCAACACAATCACCCCGGAGTTTTCTCTAGACCAAAAAACATCTATCCGTTTACTCCTAGCAAAAATTACAAATGACCAGCCAGCCATTTTTTTCTACTCCTGATAGGTTTGGGCTGCAATCAAAGCCTAAGCTTCCATTTTAAAACGTAGAAAAGCAGACAATGAGAAGATGTATTTGTTAACCAGAGTCAAAGATCTTTATTGGTTTGTAAATTTTGTCCAAAGTAGTTTTTGGCTCTCTAGTGGATTGGTGACTACATGTAAATAAGACACTGCTTGTATGTTACTCTTTAATTACTTTCAAAGGATAAGAGTACAAATCAACTCTTTGCTTACCTGAACAGTGGCCATTCTCTGATGGAATTAAATCAGTTAGAAAGTCAGAAATCAAGATCATAGTCATCCTTCAATGGTTTAGTGACCCCGGTTATAATTCCTTTCTGCTCATCTCTACAGACGTACCTATTACTCCTGTCAGATGGCCCCCTTGGCATCAGGAAAAAGTCATCATCGAGGTAGTCAAAGTCTCCTTTCCTTGCTCCTGTCTCGGCTGCAAAACCGGATGACCTCTGACCTTTTCCCCCTCCATGACCTCCTCCTTGACCTCCCCTGGGCTTGTTCCCTTTGCCACCTCCTCTGTTGGGATGACCCCTCTTCCGCACAACATTGCTCATGGTGACTGTAGATGATGAACCAGTTTTTTGTCTTCACACGAACTGATAGCTGTTTTTTTTGCTGTGAGCGGTAGACAGATGCAGTCAAGAATTAAAGATGCTTGAAGGATGACTTCTGGAGTAATTGAGTGTATACCTCTAATCACCTGTTTGCATATGGTAAACTACAATATTAAAAAGATATCATCAGCTGTTTATACTAATGGCCAAATTGGAAGTTTAAAAATCACAAAGTACTGAGCACACAACACAGCTTTTATTTTTTGAATTTCAGAGCATATATATATTAAGACTATGTAAACACAAAGAAAAACTGGACAAATGTTTTTACCAACACTATTTGACAAAGAATGTTTCATTGTGCTATCAGTCGGTCCTGTTAAAAGATCTCAGACTTTCATACACGTTTTCAAACAAACATCCCTAACAGTGAATTGGATCATTCCGTTAACTTGAGAAATCCTGACATTTATTTTTGTTGATGAGGTCGTCCTGCAAAAACCACCCACAGTAAAAAACTCTGTTACTTATAGTGTTGTTTTTGACCCTTCTCCTGAGTCTCAAATGTTTGAGAATATTTTGAAATTGTTTGGTCTGCTATATTCAAAGAAAAATGGCTGTAGATGTAACAGGGATTGCACACAGTTTTATCAAGTTTGTTTTAAGCTCTATTTTGTGGCATCAGATCCCCGTAAATAACTACAATTCCATCTGTAGATGAGAACACTTAGGCCCAAGTTGAGATTGTCCTTGTACTAGTCCAGTCCCAACGACAGTATGGTTGGAAGGAACGAGTTCCATAACCATGATAACGGACTCCGCTTGCACAACATGTGCACAAAATCTATCATGAGACTGGTCTAAAAATTTACAAGTGTTTTCTAACATGTCCAAGTAAACGACTTGGTATTTTCCCTCCAAATTTGAATTTTTCTGGACAGGTTTTTGCTTTCTGACGACTGAAATACATGATAACAGATGTATGATGTACATGATGTAGGTGACTGTAGCAGCGAATAATTTCTGGCGTCCGTTAAACGGTTTATACAACTCTTTTCACACACACAAAAAAACGATAAGCAGATCGTTGTCACCCAAATTTCACAAGCATGAATTCTTACTTGTACTTCACAAAAGCAACACCAATACCCAGCTTCGCACGGTACGTCTCCTCTCCTCTCATCTCATCAGCAACTCTGTAGTCGAGGTGCATGATTTCTCACCATCCGAAACTCTGACCCCTACGTGAGATATTCTATTTATCTTAAAGGTAAATTCTTTAATTATAAAGACAATCACTACTGCTACAAGTAGGGGTTAATATTAAAAAAATTGAATCTATTCACTAAAATAACTAAATTATTCAATCAGTGGGAGTAGCAATTTTTTTCCAGGAAAAAAATTCTAGATTTTAATGGGATCATAAATTTCCAGCTCCCACTTTTTTTAAATGAACCCTTCCAAGGTCAAAGCTTCTGCGACTTGCACAGCTGTGGTGCAAGTACATGTACACGCCTATGATCGATGAAGGCCTACCTACATGTAAGCTGTTAATGGACAAGATACATGTATGCTGCGGGACGTGAAGTTGGTAAGATTTGTTTCGTTAATGCGTCGAGTCATTGTTAATATTGACAACTTCTGCGTAGATCTCGTTAGTTCAAAGGTCTGCAGATTTATTTCCACAGTTCTTTCCACTCTATAAAATTACAATAAACAGGGTAAAGGGCCAAGGGGCTGCAAGCTGAGACATTGGTCTGGGCCGGGAGTAGGACGGCTACAGTACAGGCATCACCCTGATGTCCTGATCACCATCAAACTTGCCACTGTAACGTTAGTCATGACAAAATTAATGAGAGTAGGACTACTACTAGTACTATTAACGTTAGAGAAATGTCGGTGAAATGTCATGAATGTAGCCCCACTAATGTGGCACGGACTCTCACTCTCGCGGGCATGAACTCTCACTGCCGCGGGCATGGACTATCACTCCCGCGGGAGTGAGAGTCTGTGCCACACTAGTGGAGCTAGGTGAAATGATGCGTTTTAATGTTTAATCAGTAATCTGCATGATGGCATTTTGGTTCGACATGCAATCTGTGAATGTACATGTAGGCTCTGCAAAGCTGGTCATAAACCGGTCAAATCTGCCTCAGTCACTATCAGTGGTCAGAAAGTATCCAGTGTTTGTGACAATCCAACTAAATTCCTGGGTGCTGTTGTTGCTGCAACTGAAAGTGAAAGCAAACGTTTCTCAGCGGCTGCTCTCTGAGAAACAGTTTTGACTACAATGAATAACATCGATCAAAGACCTTTAAAACCAGAATATAAAACATTTGTGCCCAGCGTTTCGCTTTGTGTTAGCTGTTTCATTCATGTCTGACAACCAGTTGACTGTCCTACAATGCAAGATCATGCAAACCCTAAAAAGGGGTTGAAACTGGTGAAATGCGCAACACTAGCAGCAATGTTCCATACTTAATCCCTCAACTTGCCATATCTACCACACTTCGAACAAAAATGCAAATAAATTTGGTTCTCCCCATCTTCAAAAATGGAGGAAACCCTCTGATAACACAAAATCTGAAAGACTCGCTTTACAACCGTCCCACTGCATGTGGATGGGAGAGCTCCGTACCGAAAATCTTAAAATAGGCAATTGACAAAGTCAGAGAAATGGTGACCAGTGACTCGACGAAAAATCAGCTTCAAAGCAGATCAAACAACAAGTGCATAAAGACCATGACCAGCAATGGGAGACTCAGCTGGACAAGTTAACAGTGCAGTCCAAACTCCTTGATATCATCGAGCTGGAAAATAAGTCTGAGGCCTGGAAACGTGTTTTTTACAGCCTCCTTAGTGGGAAACTCGCCTTTCTCATCAGAACTGGCTGCGATACCTTACCCTCTCCAGTTAACCTGGCAAGATGGAAAGTGCAACACGATACAAGATGCAAGCTCTTCCATCAGCCAAGGGCCACCCTAGTGCACATCTTGAGCGCATGTGACAAGGGTCACAATAGCGCACATCTTGAGCGCATGTGACAAGGGTCACAATAGTGCACATCTTGAGCACATGTTACAAAGCCCTGACATTGAGTCGTTACACTCGGCATCATGGTGAAAGAAAAAACATGTTGTGTATGTACCAGGCTCTAGTGGCCGACCTTTAGGAGCATTTTGAAGGGGTGGATCTGATAACTCTAAAGGTGGGGGCATTGGATCACTATTCACCTGATCTCATATCAGCCATGTCCACCTTTATGCTTGGTACAGCAAAGAGTGTCTGCTAACAGACATCACAAGAACTGTAGTGAATGCCTCATATACTGTACCTGTATACGGTATTCTGCAATCCCACCAGTGATGGAGACTGGGCTCATAAGCCGCTTATTTACTATTTTAAGGATAAACGTATGTGTTGATGAGCCATTATATGTAAGCCAGTGCAGAATTTCCCCCATAAATCAAAGCCTTCCCTCTTTCCACAAAATTAATCCTGCAGTTATTCAGCATGGGAGACAGCGTACATGTAATCCAGTAGGCCCTCCGTGAGTTTTAAAGTTTACAACTAAGTTTGCAACAGTTGCAAATTGCTTGAACTTGAATATGTTGAAGTTGGAAAAGCAATGTAGTCTCATTGCCTTCGGAGAGAATCATTTCTACATGTATGTTACCCCAACTGTTGCAAACTCCGAGTCCATGACACAGGGCATGCATGCTTTCAGCACATTGGGCATTGGATTGAAAAATAGCGCTAAACATCCAAAAGCCTTTTGCGATTTAAATTTAAATAAAATCTGGTACACTGAGTTCTTTAAATTCATGTAAACATAATTTGAATTCTATTGACACTGTTGCAATACCTCATGATTTTTGGCAAGTTTTTGCTTAGTTACATTAGAGACGCCTTGCACCAGTACACTGTTTTTAGTGGATAAAATGAGCACAAAGGAACCAGTCCATTCCAGAAATGGGAGTCGCATTGCAAAAGCTTGTCCCAAATCACGAGTTATATCAACAGTGCCTTTTTTGTCTGGGGAATTTAAATGGTTATAAATATTTATGTGTAAACAGGTACATTGTAACTCAGTGTACCAGATTTGATTCATATTATTTGCAAAAGGGCTTATTAAATGAAATTGTGAGAACTGGATTGTTTCTTTACGTGTTGGGGGGTGTCACAATGTGAGAAGTTTATAAATCATGTTTACATGAAAATCACAAGTTGGGAAATATGTAAACCGTGTTTATATAAATATTGGTGGAAAGAAAATTTATTGGGGTAAGAGTTACTTTCAGATTTGAGTTTGTTCCCACACACCCTCGGCAGAGTGTAGAGGGCTATTCAAAACCAAATTTGTCAGAGAATACATAGTGGCAAGGAATGTTACGCAAATTAATCATGCTTGAGTAACTTTAGTCCAAGGCACTCCCCTGTGTGTGTGCTGTTAGGGACTACCAATGCAGCCTTAGTGGTGTATGGAAGGGTAGTCCACCTGTGTGGTGAAGTACATGTCCTGCATGTACTGTTCATAGCGTAGCCCTGAAGAAAAAAACAGTTTGGAAATCAAAACTGTAAGTTAATTTCACTTGGTTTATGTTTATGCTTATTTTGTATTAGATAATTATGAGCTCATTTAAAAGATGTATTTCTAAGCCATAAGTCGCATTTCTTGGCAAATTATTTGAATGGTCAAAAATTGTCGAAGGTTATTTGGATTTTTTTCAAAGGGTTTTCCCTGAGGGGAACTTAAAACCTTGCTGGTTCTGAGTGAACCATTTGTTCGGAGTGAATCACTATCATTCTGAGGGAACCATTTGTTCGCA